TTGAAGCCAATTAAACCAATGGGACAATTCATTTGGAACAAGATTCTACGTGCAAACCAGAAAGTTTACACAGAACAGAGTAGTATTACTCTATCATGTTATGGCTACAGCTTAGTTTTAGTTAACTCTTGTGTAAAGATATAACTTGTGTAAGGAGATAACTTGTGTTAGGTTTTTGTCTAGATTTTACCCCGGAGTAATAATTTAGATGACAAAGATAACTATCTCCTTAACATGAGTTAACGGGTTAACTCGTGTTAAGAAGGTTAACTCCAGCTAAGGAATCTCATGTCCTAGCTAAAAGTGGCTAGGAGGTTCATCGATGCTAGTATATTTATACTGTAGGGTTGTGTATTACTCACGACATTCAGTACACTCTTAGACATGCATTTCCCCTTAGACGTAGCCCTTTGTGGTGAACCACTTTACATCTTGGTGTCAGTGATTTTTTTGGTCACTTGATCTTGCGTGTTTTGCACTAACACAAAGTGATGAATTTTTCAATACCACTTGATAATACAAATAAAAGATACTACTAGGTTTAATGCTTTGAAAATAAATCAATAAATTTTTTGATAAAAATCATGAATACTCTACATTCATATAATCATTGGCTTACAAGATATTTTGAATGGCATAGAAAAATATAAAAAAATATTGATTAAAAAATAAATGAACACAAAATGTAAATTTGCTAATTAAACATTATACCATAATTGATAAAAAAAATTAAAGATCTTGATGTATAAAAGTTTAACATTCATTTTATAAAAAACCTTATATTAAAATAATTTATGGATAATATTTTTACACATATTTATATGAATTATGAGATGTAATCATATGTAGAATTGCATTTCAGAAAACTAAATTCATCTAATGTGTAGTTTAGATGATTCGTATCTAGCCTGTTGCAAAAAGCTAGGTATGCAATTCAAGTAGAGTTGTTATGATAAAAGATAATAATAAAATTCCAAATTTATATTTTCATGTGTTACCGTCAATTGAAAACACATAAAACATATAAAATCAAGTCACAACCAAGACACGATGTAACATGGTTCACCCTTAGAAGTAGTACCACGTCTAGAGATAACTACATGTATGAGAGTTCTACTGAAAGTGTTGAGGTAATACAAAAACCCTTGGATATAAATATCCCAGCACAGGTGACCTTCTAGCTATTTTTAGCTAGGGCTTGAGGTTACTCATTAACCAAAATTAACCTCAAAAATCTTTTACTTAACCCATGTTAAGAAAAAAGTAACCTCTGTAACTTATATTATTACTCTGGAAGAAGTTCTAGATGAATAGTAACACAAAGTCAGTTTTTACATGAAAATTAACTAGAACTAAGCCGTAGCTATAACATGATAGAGTCATAAAATAAAGAGTTAACTACAAACCTGCTAGCATAGAGTGAAAAGAAAGCTTGTAACCTATATAATTACTTTGCAAGAAATTTTAGAACTAAGATTTCTCTTTACACGAACGTTATTTAGAACTAAGCCGTAACCATCACAAGATAGAGTAATTATATAAAGAGATAAGTAAAGATACTATGCTACCACACTCTACTTGTGCTCTCCATGCACAACCTGCATAGTAGCATAGTGTTGCTTGAAACTCTCCTTAATAATAACTTTGGTCAATGCTTGAACTAGATTGAATTTATTGTCAATCTTGACTAGCTTAATCAACAACTGAGGAACTTCATAAGTACATGTGCTTCTTCTTGTTCATTAATCACATAATTATTAAACTTCCCTAGATTCTTGTGCTTCGACGGCTCCGTAGGTCGTGAACAGGCAGAAAACAATACTCTAACTAAGCGCTAAGTCTCAAGGAAGGATTTTGAGCAGATGAACAATTACAAATTTCTAACGCATGGGCAATGACGCTACGCAGGAGCAACATCGCGAGGAGGCGAGAGTGACAAGAGATCGAAGAGCAGTGCGGAGGACCGAACTAGAGGGTCTACGCGAGAGCGGTCCGTCCGCCTATTGCGGGCAACGGTTGTTTGCTGGCGACGGTCAATTGTGAGCAACGCACAGTCGCGGACAAAGGGCAAGTCAGACAATATGAGCATGTCGATTAGCAAGGGCAGGATTGGGCATACGCGGCGGTCACTTTGGATAGCTACGTGCAATTCGGGCAATCTTGCTTGACAGATTTTGTCAAAAGATTCAGTATGTCAAAAAGATCTATGCATTTGAGTAAATATTTTGTTTATAAATATTTTGTCCTTGACAATCTTTGTCGCAATATATGCAAATTGGTTATTATTTAAAAGCTCTCAATGTGATTAATGCATATAGATCATTTTCAAGAGCATATTGATCACTCAAAATAGGAAAATCGATGTAGAAGCTTCTTTTGTATCTAGATTTTAGACGGATGAAAATGGTAATGCGACAAGTTGGAGTATCTAAATCTAGAATGACAAGATTACATACTTTGGCGAAAGTAGTATTACAAGCTATGGGTTTTTGTAGCTTGTAGGATTCTTGTCATTAGAAATATGTCTTTCAATGAGCCCAAATCATTCAAAGAGGGGGATGATTTTCAGGATCTTTGCACTCTGCTCACGGTTATGGTTATGATAGAGTTTGATCATTATGTTGTTAATGATCAAGAAGTAGCACTGATGTTGGTGTACTTTCTAAGCTGTTGATTAAGCTAATCAAGATTGACGGTAAATCCCTCTTCATTGAACTAGTCAATATTAACAGTAGATTATGGTGATTGAACTAGTCAAGATTGATGATAAACTTTATTCATTGAACTAGTCAAGATTGACAATAAACATTATTCATTGAACTAGTCAAGATTGACGATAAACTTTATTCCTTGAACTAGTTAAGATTGACGATAAACTTTATTCCTTGAACTAGTCAAGATTGACAGTAAACTTTGTTCATTGAACTAGTCAAGATTGATAGTAAACTCTGTCCATTGAGCTAGTCAAGATTGACGATAAACGCTAGTGATTGAGCTAGTCAAGATTGATGGTAAAATCTGTTCATTGAGTTAGTCAAGATCGACGGTAAACTTAATCCAATTGATGCGTTGACCAAAATTATGACTATGAAGAGTTTCAGGCGACACTATGTAGAGTGCATGGAGAGCACTTGTAGAGTTCGCTAGCATAGTAACTTCAATTACCTATGTATATAAGTACTCTATCCAGTGATAGCTACAACCTAGTTCTAGTTAACTCTCATGTAAAGAGAGATCTTGTATTAGGTTTCTTTCTAGAACTTCCGCAAGAGAAATAATATAGGTGACAGAGTTTACTATTTCCTTAACACAAGTTAAGAGAGAGATTTTTGAGATTAACTACAGTGAAGAAGTAACCTCAGGTCCTAGTTTAAAATAGCTAGGAGAGTTGGCGATGCTGTAGTACTTAAACTCCAAGGTTTGTGTATTGCTCAACATAAGTTTTTGTTTCTCACGCATGAGCTTTTTGCCGTGTACGTAGCTACTTCGAAGAAGTGAACCACTTTGTATTTTGTGTTGAGTGTTAGCTGTCACTTGCGTGTTTTGTACTAATATTTATTAGTTGATTTCTAAATTATATAAAATCATAAAGAAACACAATGTTATAAATTTAAAAATTTAGTAGTCTGAAAATATTTTTATCAATATTTGAATCTGAATTATATTATATTTTTTATTTGATTAAAATATATCACTAATGGTATAAATAAATATGAATGATTTAAAAACTTAAGTTTCAAAATTTTTGAATCAAAAGAGTATTAAGCATGCTTCAAATATATATTATAATGATTATTGATCTAAAATTTGATTGATCATTAGATCATTAAACAATGAATATGTGTACAAAAAATCATGAGTAAATTTAAAACGGGAAATCAAGATACTTTGATGTTCAAAATTGAATTCAAGTTATCCGAAAAATGTACTCCCTTGAAAAAATTGATTTCTGGCAAGAAATATATGCGGAATAATTTATTAAATGTTTTTGCATAAAATTTGAGCCTACTCTCTCCTTCACATATAAATTACAAACATTTTGTTATTGAACTTGTCCGAGCTCATAAAAGGAGCTTTATATTTCTCTTTGTAGACTTGAAACCATCATATTGCAGATTATTTTGATTCAGCTCTTTGATGATTTTTTTGAAATGAATTGGTTCCATAAATGTTAACAGAGTGGTATTGTTTGTATTGGTGCTTCGTTGTGGTCAGTGTTTCAAAACTATCTATGCTTTGTTTCATTGAGTTGCAAACCCGTAGAACAGGATGCGTGTCTTTGGTCATGTTAGGTTGCAAGTTGCCATTATGCTAGCACCTTGTTGTCTATCGACCGGGTAACATGTGTGGGGTGGCCATTGCACCAGCTTCGTTAGCTGTAAGATTGTCCATGTGCCAACAATAATTGCTCAGATAGATTGCTCGCGGTTAATATTTGGCTGGTTATGTTTGACTGGCTTCTTGAGGAGTGGAGTCATTACAATATGCGAATCCAAAGCATTTGTTGAGATATTGATCGTTGGTGTTGATGTTTCAAGATGAGTTGTGAGCACGCCTCAAACCAGACAGATATAGCTTCATACAAAATTACCTCACAACAAATCCCGGAACATCATGAGTGAGGATTAATCCCTCAACAGAGGAGGGGAGGTGGGTTATACTGTCGTGTGTGCTCAATTTGGTTTGCTTACTAGACATCCCATCTGTATGAAATGTTGGTTCCAGGGGGTTGGCTACATTTTGGCAAGTTATTTTTTTTGGTTTCTCAGAATTTTTACCCTATGATAGATGGAATTTCTCACGTGCATAGCACATGAAGCAATGCGTCCAGGGTTTATGGGTTTTGGGAGAAGATAGTGCATAACGAGTATCCAAAGCTAGGAAAAGGGGAGGAAAACATGTCCCCTTTCGTTCCCTATTGACTGGCCGTGGCGTACTTGAAATTAGCAGCTGGAATTAGTTGATGGCGACTTTACAGGCTCGCTTTCCAATGGGCGTCGGGACAAAGATTGAATGTGAACCATCTTCAACGAATACTTTATTTTCAAGTGTTCATCGAAGTGTTCGTGTGTATATACAGAACATAGAAAGTGCATGTTTTGTTTTCGCTCACCCCAGTCTCACTACAAACTTCTACGGAGAGATCCATGATCCTTCACTCATGGACTCAATGATGGAGGTCTTTAGTGGGACCGACGAGTATCGCTTTATGTTGTTCTGATCATCACATTATAATGCCGGCAGGGTCCACATTTGATACTTACACTAGTCTATAGTACAGCTACCTCTGTCTCTTTTTATTCTGAGGATGTCCCCTTTTCAGGCCAGAGGACACGAAAAATCGACATTTCGAATCTACGACTGCTTTGACACTCTTTTGTAGCGAGAATTCCGTATGGTATGACCTTGTGAGTGGTAGGCGCTGACGAATGTGCATGAAAACGCACGAGTCAGCTATGGACATGGCATCTTCATCTATAGGACGGAATCGAAGAGGAACTCTTTTCCCACAAGAAGTGCTGATGAGCCTGGAGGTGTTTTATGAGGGACTCTGACCTCGACGGTGTTAGTCCATGTTGTTGTTGTTGTTGCTCCTGCTGCTGTTGTTGTTGGGTTTAAGTGGCGTGCTTCACGGGGTCTTGTTGAAGGAGCACGTGTAGGCGCAGAGCAAAATTTTCTAAGGGCTATATTCTGTTTGATATGGACATGGCTCGGAGGAGTGCAATAGGGGGATCTACAGGAGTAATGGATTCACGGGTCGGTGTTGATTCTGATGGTGATCATCTCTACGCAAGCTCGGGGACTGCTTTGAGATTGGTCATTCCGCCCAGAGATTCGTCCGAGGCAGGCCGATGCTGTCGGATCACCAGAACAGAGGTCCGAAGCTTGAGCTCCTTGGACAGGAGCATGTTCCCCACAGGCCCCAAGCCTTGGTCGTGTTCCGCAGAGTCCACAGCGCAATCGAAATTGCCTGTTCGCTGGATGGCGCTTTCAGGGCCCAAGTGAAGGCCGGCGATGATCAAAGAGTAGGAGTTGGTGCCGGAGAACAGCTCCTCCAGTCCACTCATGGGGTTGCTCATGTCCACCACTAATACCTTGGGACTCTTGCTACTGACAGACGACGAGTCCGCTATGGTCTCCTCGTTGACAGAAGCCAGCCTCGTCGCCTGCTTTGCGGCTGCCAGAACTGGTGCCAGGATCTTCATATCCTTCTGCTTCTCATTCTCCGTTTCCAGCTCGTCCATGCTCAGTTTCACAGCCTTGATGCCTTCAGCAGCTGTCTCTTGAGTGCTTTCATCAAATGCCTGTCCATCGAGCTTGGAGCTGGGCACGTCACTCTTGGCCGGTGCAGTCACAACTTCGACCTTTTCAGAGCTTTCGTTCCAGGGATCTCGAAGCCACTTGACGACTTTGTGCTTGAATTTGAGCAGGGCCTTTTTGCATCTTCGGATTGATAGACCGTAAAATTGTGGCGTATCCGGAAGGTATTGCACCAGATCTGCTGAGTTAAGCCGACTCAGAGATGAGAGATGCTGGTGTTTGGGCTTGAGAATGCAGTGGACCACGGTTAGCTTCACACCGCCGTGGGCGTGCATTCTCTGCCCGAACAGAAGGGCCTCGCGATCATCGGGGCCTCCGAAGAATAACACCATGACCTGGTGCATCTGACCGGCGGGAATGTTCATGCCCAGTCCTCGATCTGCCAAGATTGCTGCTGAGCAAGGAGAGTTCTCCATGACCCTGAAGTTCACTTGAAGGAATCCAGCACCCCTGGACTCAAAACTGCCATCGGGGCCAGGGTATTTGTGGAAAGGAAGAACGATCAGATTCGCTCGAGTGGCTGCAGCTGCGGAGCACACATCTTCGTGCATGGTGTCCAGCCTGCTCACAGTCAGGCTCACTCTCGTCTTCACTCTGTTCACACGGCTGAAGGTCTTCAGGGCCATATTGACTGCATCTCCTATCAGCACTCTGGTTCCTTCATCCTGCAAGCATTTCAGAATCACCCTTTTGTCAATCCTTGAGGCTGTAATTCCCGCTCATCAGTTCATCTGTATTGAGGCATGATCAAGTTGAGCAGCAGAGGTATTCTGGAGGATGTGAAGATTTGAATGAAATTGGCCAGTTTACCAGAAGCACAATGTCAAGAGCCATGACCGAGATGCATGTGTGAGGAAATTGAAGGTCTTGTGATGATTACCTCGTAGTCTTCATCAGAAGGCGAGTCATCTGCGTTCGCCAGAGCTGCCATCCTGATGGCAGATGAGCGCTCCGAGAATTCCACCAAGTGCAAAGCATCCACTTGCAGGAGACGGGTCCGTCTGCCCTTGCTCATGTGGATCAGATTCATCATGCCTGGTACATTTTCCATGCCATGCACGCAAACCAGCATTCGGAGCTTCTCATTCACAGAAGCCTTGGCGTTTTTGGCTTCTATGACTCTTCGATTGTAAGCTGGCACATCGCGTGCAGGCTTGTACAGCCACATAAGTGTCGGTGTGGTCATTGCTGTCGTGATCAATGCCATCACCACGAGTGTGGCAAAGAGCTCGTTGTTGATGACCTGGCCATCGTTATCAAAAGTGGACAGAAAATTTCGTGTCAGAAGTGACTGCCGAATGCAGAACCCACTCGTGAATACCAACAGATCAGCTGACAAGAATATTAGCATCCGTGTGCGGAAATGCGAAATTCGACGGTTCATGCAGAGGTACTCACTCCTTTGCTGAGCCCGATGTTGAGAACGATGAGCTCCACGAGGCCTTTGGTACTCATCAGAACACCGAGGGAGAGAGAGCTGCGCATATCCATCCCCTGAAATCTTGTGACGAGGACAGTTCCGCCGACTTTCCCCAAGATGGCCGTCAAGGTCACCAGCACCAAAATGCCAACTACAAAAACCAACCACCATCTTCTTATTAAGTACGCTTCTCGAGTCCCTTCCATAGCTGCTTAAGATTCATATTCAACGATGAACCGACGAAATTAATTGATGAAGGAGATGTTCGAGCTAATCAACGTGGAGGTGCCTGAAAGTACCTGCTTTCAAACTGGCAATGCTATCAAGATCTGTTTTCAGCCCTGAGCTTGTGAAGTACAAGGGTAGCAACAGGATGGACACGAAGTCCTCCACCTTCTCTATCAGAAGACCTGCAAATTGAAAGAATCACGGTCAATGAGGGGAACACTTTTGGCAAAACAAATTGCAGTTCTGTTCGTGCGATTTATCATTTAAAAGTCTCCCCGAAATCCGAAAATCAGATAGAAGATAACATATTGACAGACATTTGTTTGTTCACTGCAGCGTACGTCATCATCTAGTCATTCACTGTCACTTCTGTGGAGCTGTAGTCCTCTGAAGCACAATCTCTCGCCGGACAACTCAGCTTCATGGACAGCTTGATGATTGACGGGAGCTAAGCTGAGGAGAGAGGATTAGTAAGAAGATTCCTAATCGAAATTGAAGCTAAAGATGGAGGCTTTCGGAAGGAAATGATGGCCGACCTGCAAACGGTCCGTCTTTAGGAATGACGAGGCCCATGATGAAAGCTCCGAAGATGACATGTATACCCATGGCATCAGTGGCGTAGCTGGAAATAATCATCAGAAGGAAGGTTATGGCGATGACCACTTCGGGAATGGGATCCTTGTAATTAGCCAGCGCGTACACCAGCGGTCGTACGAGCCCGAACATAACCAGCAGATAGACCAATCCCGAGAGCAGGACCCAAACGATGACCAGCGGTGACGATCCGGAGTTCGTCACGGCGACTGCCAGAGCCAAAAGTGCCCATGCTACCACATCGTTCATTGCTGCTGCCGAGACTGCAACTTGTCCGATCTGCAAAATCACTCGAGTCCATCAGTAGTGACCAGCTTTGCGCCATTACAGCGTCACCATATTATATGATTTCTGTGGTTCTATCCATTATTCGACAGATTTTGTTTCTATATGTTGAAAAGATTCACAGCCAGTTCACTTAAAGCCCTGCGAATAAGAATAATCATTTTGTTTCGTTTCTCGTATTCAAACCTCGAGCTTGTCTAATTGAATTCACTCAGTAACTCCCTTCTGATACATAAGAATTTTGAGAATGTACAGATAGCTTCGGAAACGGAGCGCAATTCTGGACAGTCTCAAACAGAACAAGGGTGGGCAAGAGGGTTCGAAAGGTACTTGGGTGTTGAGAATTTTTCGTTCTGCCAGTATTCTGGCGAGTACAGGAAACGCGGTGATGGAGAGAGAAACGCCCATGAAGAGGACAAATGGTCCGAAGCTCGAATGTTCATCGAGATTCATGGACTTGAACACGAGTATGGAGACTCCAACACCGAGAATAAAAGGCAGACCGATGCCGGCCGCTGCCACGTACATTGCGCTGGTTCCACTCCTGCAAGTTACAAAAAGTATCGGTTTCTCAGTCCTGGTCGTTACAGCGCGGTAGCTGGATGCGAGATGCATCCAGCTGCCGGACAGCTTTAGTGTGCTCACTTTAGCGTACGATACTGGAGAAACTTCCCGTCCAAAAAGAAATTTTGGTCTTGCCCAGACAGTGCCCCCTTTCTGAACATCACCCACCGGTCAGTGCAATCAATCCATAGGCCCCTTGACTACTGGACCCATTCATGCAAGCGAACTTCCTCTGTGGTCAATTTACAAGTGCGTTTGATATTCCTTTGTCTGCTCCATGAGGAGACTGAAATTAGCAGCAATCAGATCAATATTCAGAAACCTACGCATGATAGTTACAACCACGTTAATATCCGTCTGTACTAAGGGCACTTGAGCCTGGCTTCTACCTGAATTAGTCCCCACCAAATGAGTCAAAATGTGTCAATGCCCGTGATGCAAATTTACTGCCAAATTGTCCTTTGCTGTATGTAGACTGACTAAAAGGTGAACGAACGACGACATGTGCTGAAATTTACGAGGTCCGACGCATGATTATGGCATGACAGTGAGTGTTCACGAGTTAAAGCAGCAGGGCTTACTTGCGGAGGACGCGCAGGTCGAGCTCCAGTCCGACGAGGAACAGAAAGAACATAAGGCCGAACTCTGCAACCGTTTCCAGAATATTGAGAGAACTCGCCGGGAAAATGGTGTCGCTGAATCCCGGAATGCGCCCGACTGCTGTGGGACCCAGAAGTATACCACCGATAATCTCTGCAGTGCCAGGGCCAGTGTCAAACAATCAGCCGAGCAAAATTCGCAACGAATCAGATCCATCACCTCTAAGCCCTTATTCTCGCTCACATTCGAACTCCCTATACACTCACTGAAAATTGAACGACGACTGCAGCTGAAAGATTTCAATGAGGATCTCCGTGGAGAATCAAAGCACACGCGTAAGTCTAGCTGTGCTGCACACGAGAATTCTCCAGTTCCATTGGATGATATACAAGGGACACTGAGGGAAAAAATTGCTCTTGACATTTCCGATATTCTAAGAAGCCTTAAGAGATGGATCCCATCTGGTGTGAGCGCAAGCAGAGGTCCGGGCCTCAGCTCTGAGACTGGACTAGCTGAATGGAGGGACGGGCACATTTGACACTTTGCGGCCATTTTCATTTACAGCTCAAATATAGGGAGCAGACGTAATGAGCTGCAATGCACTGCTACTCACCGGCGACGACTCGTGGCTGCCTCAGCGGTTTGAAGAGTGTGGCGATGATTCGCGAGAAGCATATGATAACGATGATCTGTGTCATGAGGAGCAGAAGCGAGTGATGCAGTGGGTTGTCCCCGGCAACGACACCCATCGAGGTGACACTCGCCTCCTCTTCTGCTGTGGAGTTCGCCATCTTCCTCAATCGATCGGTGCTAGTCTTTCAATATATTCCACGTCCAATTGTCAGTTTCAACTTCAGTCTGCGTCCTCCTCCTCCTCCTCCTTCAATTCTCCGAGCAACGCTTACGAGCTGGTATCTACTGCAGCTAGCTGTAGCCAAGCACGAATTCCTCGGCGCATATTATCGCCAGCTTCTGCTCGCTCGAAGCTTAGGCCTGCGAGCCCCGATTGTGCGTGCACCCAGCTGCCTGAGTCTGAGCTCCAATTTCAGCAATGGACTCGTTGCCTCAGGTCGTACAAAAATGTAGAAGATTGTGATGTAATGTTGAGATTCTTCTTTGGATAACTACTTCAAGACTGAATGTAGAAAACTTTTACACCGGCTTTCTGAAACCCGATCAATTGTGCTAGCGAGGAGGCGCAATCACTTCCAACGCAATGAAGAACTGTAACTTGTCACCTCAGACAAACATCATGGGGCTCTCACTGCATTAGCTTCTTCGAGAGAGCTCAAAAGAAGCTTGTGTAGCGTCGCTCACTCACCCTGGCTTCTTTCGAAGCTGCTAATTTTTGGCGTCACCCGCAGCCTTAGAGTCTATTGCCAAGTATCAGGTCCGAGGTAAGCTGCAAGATCATAATGGTCCATTGTACTGGGCTAATCTTCACACAACACTAACAGGTCCAAGCTCTTGCAGTAAATGTATCTACAGCAACGCGCATATGAAAGGAGGGAGTCAAGTGAGCTGGAAACAACGAGACTGGGGGCCGCAGATGAGAGTGGAGATGAGATAGAGGCCGAGCAGGGGGACGCAGTTCTATGTCAGTGTTCAGAATCAGTCCACAACGAACTGACAAAACAAAGAAAGGGGACGAGTGGAGCGCGACTTGAAGGACAAGAGAGTTACAAGCTGGAGGAAGATGGTGTGCGTACTGCAGACAGGAATGTTTGTGGCTCACAAGTAGACGGAGGCCATTATTTAAGGCCGCAGGGATTCAAAAAGGCTGTAACTAATGCCCCAGGCTCAGCTAGCATCTGCGAGGTGCCGAAGAACTCAGCCTAACGTGTCAGGTAGTGACGGCAATCCCATCTTTAAAAACTCCTCCAACTGGCCCACAGGTCAGTGTGCCCACCGCCCATGTGCATGATTTCACTCCCTTACTCGCTTCCCTCACTGCTTGGTTTTCAACCGGCTTTCGACTGGCTCCCCCCTACAACTCCAGCTTCCCGACTTCAAGTCCCGAACTCAGCTGTAAGATAAACATGATGCAATCTCAAGTACTGTCTTACGTATTCTCGATCTCTGCATCTAGCTCCATGCTATACCTCTTAGTACGCTCTGACCGAAGACGTGAGTCCAGAGTCCAGAGTCAAGACTATGGAGGACCGGGAGACAATGGACCAGGGAAGGACTGAAATTGAGGTCGCGTACTTGGACTACAGCGACGGATCCCAAGGAACCAGGAGCTGCGGGGACACGGCTTCGTCCGAGGGGCAAGATGGTAAATGTGGTAAAGGAGGAGCACAAGGAACCGTACTGAAGTATTTAAACTCAGATCGAACCCGAGGCTAAAGGGAGGGATTGTCTGTAGCTAGTATGGCATCTCCAGAAAGTGGGTTCTTCGTTCCAGTCACTCTCAAGCAAGGAGTAGGATTCATTCAGGAACCTGGCTGATAACGACCCGAAGCCACGGCATGGTTTCTTGCTCTCACGGATCACAGTTTGTCTCACTGCCTCAGATCTGTCCAGGTTCAGTGTCGCCACATATCGGCCTGGAGGAGGATACTGTAACTAGGATAAATGGACAGTCAGATCGATCGACAAATCCGGGGAGGGCTGCTTGAGTTCCTGGTCCTGGGTCGTTGCGGTGGTCTTGGTGCTGCTGCTGAAGCTTGGCTCCCTGTTCACGTCAGCCTGCGACACGCTGGCTTTTCTGAAGATCGCGTTGATCGACAGGTGACCCGCACTGGGAAGGACAAGAGGTGAAGAACTGGTCAGACGACGGGGAGAAAATCCGGTGACCACAATTCCCACAGCTCTAATTGAAGGAAGTTTCTGTTCCCAGTGCGCGGAGCAGAACTGGCCACGGGTTGTTTACAAGATTGTTGTGCCCTGGCACGTTAACTTCGCGTTAACCTGCGAGTTTCCCAGGACCAGCATCGAAGTGCATGGTTGGATTAGGTGGAATAGACTGAATGATAGGATGCACAGAAAGAATCAACTTTCCTGCCGCTCAAGAGGATCTAGAACCGGTCTCTATTGCTCCATCCAGGATGCTCCAGTTAGATCTGCTTTGCTTGTCTCTGCTTGAGAGCTTCATACTTTGCCTCGAGCTCTGAACCCTCCAGGAATCAGAGTAGCCTCCAGCTTAGAGAAGGTATAAAGTTTCAGATGCGAACTCCCTAGCCCTGTCCACCTTCTAGAGTGTCTCTCAGCTTTAAGCCTACAGCAGTAGACGACTGTTGACGTCTACATACTTTGTAGCCGGAGCAGAAGTCCGTGAGTTCATATCTACCAAAGAATGCGTTGCTCTACTCTCGTTGGTAAATCTTGGAAGAATTTTGGACCTTCTTTGCAAAGTCCTCCATGGGCCCAGCTTCACAAGCTCCAAACAGCGCGCTGATGAGCTTCCCTGTCCGAAATCCTTTCCACTTCTGTATACCCCAGACCAGAACCAAAGTCGAGAGATCTGGGTCGAGTTCAACGACCTTGGCTTGTCGTCCCCGCCTGCTTAGGTTTTCTATAATTGCGTGTTGTAGGGAGCTGGCCATGAACTGGTCAGTCGGTGAAGATTCCGTGAGACTTGGTTCTCCTGTAGTCTACCCTTGGAAAAGAGGAGGAATACTTACTTACCTTCCTCTTTCTCAGCTCTACATGTGTCGATCCATCAATGCCCGTATGTTCGTCATGCACACCGTCACACAGATAGCCCTTTCTGGAAATATTCTCAGTCCCTTGCTCCTTTAACTGAGAAGCTGGCAGACAGAAAAATTGGATACCTCAATATGAATAATTTCTCTTTTACTGATATTCTGATGTAATCTCGAGCAGTCCCTGCGTTGTGCACTGACTGATGGTCCTCTACGCAACAAGATCTACATTGGCTTCAACTCTCGCTCTCAGACTCTGCCTCTATAGTGGCCTTCTGGGTATACTCAAAATTGACACTTGTCATTAGCATAGAGATCCTGCATTCAGCCCCGTGACATATGCAGCTTGTCCACAGTCCAAGCCATGATGCTATCTACATTGAAGCGCTGAGTTGTCGCTTTTGCCTTGAGCTCTATCCGATTTGCAGGATTCGATCTCCATTCGCCATAGCGTCACTCGGATCCATTCGCTACAGATCCCATCAGAAAACTAAGATTATCCAATCTCAGTGTCGATGGGGCACTCCAGGAAAGAACACAAAGGCTGTGACCGGGACGGATTATATTTGTCTATAGAGTCCGTAGGGCTGTCACGCAAAGGTGGCTCACATAATGAGCGAGAGCACGCGCTCAGAGTTCGAGCGAGCACAGGGGCTGAGATTGGCTCGCTCTTTCTCACCTTCTTTGGTTCACATCAGTCTGAATACCTGGTCCACATCAGTCCTCGCGTTCCTGGCCTAGCGAGTGTCCCAGTCTCGGAAGAAGGTAGAAGGACCAGCATTGACTGCACCGGCCAGCTCTGAGACTGCGATCCATGAAAAGAGGACGCGAAAGAGGTCGGCTCTTCTTTCAAGGTCCAACAGAATCCATTGATCTTCCGGTCACTTCATCCTCTGCAGCCATCTCGCACCGACCATTTTCGTTTTCCCTGTCTCTAGTTTACTTTATTTCTGACACTGTGTCTGGGCGGAACCCGAGTCCATGGATCTGAGCCTCGCTTCCCTTTCTTCGTTTCCTAGATGTCTCATGCTCTGCTTAGCAGATGGCACTGTTCTGCCCAGGAGTAATCTTGTGCTCTAGTGCTGGACCATCCATCTGGGTTTAGGATGATCCTTATCTTAAGAAAAACGTGCTGTTACGGGCTCAAGCTCCAAGAAAATGGGAATGTTCTGGACTTATGTGCATTCATTATCAAACTATCAAAACGTTCCCAATTCCGTGGAGATGGACGACCGAACGATTCATATTGAAGAGTCGTTCAGAAAGGTTAAGCCATGATCCTGAAGAGGAAAGAATCATGTTGGTGCTCTAGAATCTCAAAAGTAGCCACAAACTGTTAAATCCTGGCGGGACAAGAGTTCCAGAGATCCCGCCTCTGCAGTCCAATCTCTGACCTTCAGCAGGCCATGGACTCAGTATCTGCTCAGATCAAAGGTCCGAAAGTAGCCACAGCTAAATATTGGGGAGTATGAGAGACCTTGTTCCGTGGCATCCACTAATTTGTTTCCACACGTAAGGCCTGCAGACCTCGACGTCTTGCTTAGGATAACCCATTTCACCATGTCTTTTAGAAGAGCAGGTTTGCGACAGTTCAAGCCTGCTGACACAAATTCGACCTTTTCTCGCATCAATTTTCAACATTGGAGAAACTGATCAGAGTAGAATGTCGTGGTCCTGGTCCAACTTAAGAAGTGTATAAAAATTAAGTGATATGGAGTTGAGAATTTTGAAACATGGAGATAATCAGGTCTCTGCAGGGAATCAATGAGAGGTAGCCACGAATCGAATGGCCAACTTTAGAGACCAGAAGAATCGTTCATTTACGCAGGGGTAACTATGCCCCTACCAACGGTGTTTTCTGTTTACTACTCCCGTACAGTTTTGCTGAAGACTCAAGTGTTACTGGAGGCTGAGCTGAGATCACTGAAGCGAGAACATCGAACAAAAGCCAAGAGGCTCGACTGCTCAGAAGTTTCAGTCGTGATTATCAGATGCAGAAGCCAATCGTCTCATGCACTCGATGGAGACTGAAAAAATATCTACTGTCAGGATTTGGGTTCACATCCACTTGCAAATTATATACTTGGGAGTACTCGAACTCCTAGACTCCGGCTCTTAATCGAAGATCGTCTACTCTCTCGACAAGGAGCTTGAACCATTGACTTACTACTCTGCTGATGATGGGCGGTATGGTACTGCTAAAGGCTATGGGAGACAGTCTTGAGAGCTCTGGGACGCAGACTTCCAAGTTGGAATGGTTAGGTAGTGGTATTGAAGTGATTGCCGTACGCAGCACTCATTGGACTGCCTGATCGACTGAGCAGCAGACGAGGAACCTTCGGACAGGTTTGTACAAAGATACCCTATCCTAAAATCATCTGGCATGGAAATGTTGGAGCTGAGAAGAATCATTTGACGCATTTGGTCGCTTAATTTACGATACTTCGCCAATAGATGGGCACCAGGTACATTCACGTAAGGAACCATCGCGGCAGCACCGAGTTGCTCGAATCCATGCATTCATCAATTTGTGCTCCTATACAATGTATGGGCTGGCTTCTCGTCCAGTCAAGTCTATAAGCAGCGGGGCTCGTGCTTTCTACGATATGTTTTGCATGGATTCTCGATTTAGAACCATTGCTGCGCAAAAACAATTTTCAAATATTTATTTATTCTATCCTCCATCGCCATCATGACGGGGATAATTTCACCCTCAACGAAGTTACCATCTCATTACAAGAAGTCCGGGTCATCATGATGCCTCAGCGATCAGTGACAGAGCACCTAACCATCAGCTTTTTAGTTCATGGTAGGTACAACTTACTTCGGCAACAATAGCATTTGTCTACCCCCAGCATCGGTCTCGACTGAAGGTGCAAAACATATGAAAGGCGCATTTGATCGAAGAGAAAATTCGTCTTCAGTTCCTGACCAGACGTTTTCTCTGAGGTTCGAGAGCTGCCAAGGGACGAACGAGCTCTTCTGTTTAAACTGGGAATGAAAAGTGATCAGGATTCTGCCAAATGAAAGAAGTCAGAGTCTGAATGCTATGTTGACCTACGCCTCGTAGAGGTAACAGTCTAATAAGCCTAAATTTCGTTAGTCTTATCGAGACCTTGCCATTTTCGCTAGAGACACCTTCAGTCTGGTGCCCGGAATTTTAGCGGCCTAAAGTCTGCACTGAGAGGGCTTTATTAGATTCGATGAGGCCCCCCGGATAACCACTAGATTTGGGTGTCTCTGAACCGTCACAGATCTCCAAAGCTGCAGGAGCTTTGAAGTTCAGAACGATTTAAGATAAGGGGAGTGCAACGACACTCATCTAAACTCGTGCGAGGTGGCAATGTCGACAGACTCGTACACGTGTGCTTAGCAGGTTGGCTTCATAAACCTGGTCTGATTCCCTCCCTCCCTCCGCAGACGGG